TAAATGTTATTCATTCTATTCATAAAATATCTTTAGTTATATCCTTAAACAGGGAGACTTTTCATGAGAAAGCCTTATAAAGTAGACATGAAACAGGCAGTTATTAGGGGTCAGCTTGTCAGTATAGCTATCATCTGGATTTGAATCCTTACTCCATGGTTTACTAGCTGTGGATTATAGAGTTATTTAGTTTATCATTTTCCTATTTTAAGTGCAATGCAAATCTACTTACTTTATAGGACTATTGTTAATTCTTTAAATATAATAATGAGAACTAAATGAGTTCATACAGGTAAAAGGCTCAGAAAAGAAAAATTCGGTGCTTTGTTCTTATCATGTTGTCTTAAAGTAGTATCAAGTCACTCCTCCTAGAAATAATTAAGTGGACATTCCTTCTGGTGGCAATTATGCAACATGATCAGCGGTCTTAGGTCTGTCCTGAGAAAGTGACAACAGATGACAACCAGACCCTGTTTGTACCATAGTGACATTTACGTTTTCAGTTGCAGGAAGGCATACTTTTAGCGTGTCTGAAAACTATTGAGTTAAAAAGAGTGGGCCCACACTTCTTTTGTATTTTAGATTACATAAACTGTTATCTGTTAGACAACTTGTACTCCATTTCCCTTCTGGTGAGAGTGAAGTGCCATATCAAGCTTAGACATTTTGCTACACACCTGGAATCATAGGTAAGGAATAAGTCAGTAATCTCTCCTTTATGTTATTCTTCCACAGCATGATGAAGTATAACAAGAGTTCATTGTGAAGTAGCCATATGTAAAATGCAGAATTAATTAAAGAAACTTAGATTGTAGCTCATTCAAGAGGAGACTGTCCTAAGCCAGGCATGGTGGTGCAGGCCTCTAATCCCAGCTTTTGAGAGGCTGAGGTAAGAGGATTGCTGTGAGTTTGAGGCCAGCCTGGACTGCATAGTAAGACTGTCTCAAAAAAAAAAAAAAAAAAAAAAAAAAAGAAAAGAAAAAAAAAAAGAAAAAAACAACTGGCGAGGAGTTTCTGAAGATGTTAAATACACTGAATGTAAGAGTCCATCAAATCCAAAAGTGAAAAAAATGTTGACCTCTTAAAAATGTTTTTCTTCAGATGTCAAATGAGTATAAAGATGTTTAATATCGTTCCCTAGATGTCTCTGCTGTAAGTTTAGTCAGATGAGAGCTGGTGTGGCTTCCAGGATCTTAACTCAAGACAGTGATTTCTGCATTTTGTAATAGAGACAGTGAGTATCTGTTACAGTGCCCAGTGAGGACCTTCTAGAGAGAACTTCAGAAGCACGTTTCTGGCTCCTGCCCTGGTGAACAGTCTATTCCGGTAATTGCCTTACAGCAGAACCAAATAGCAGTGACCAGTTGATGTCTGACTGCTGAGGGTATATTATCTAGGGCTCTCTAGTGGAAAGGAAATGTATCACTGAGGTAAAGCAGTCAGAACAGATGGAGTATATGTAAAATGATAATTCTGTTCTCTACGTCAGAGTTTTACTAGGTGCATGTGAGTTAATGTAACTACTGATATGACTACTGATAGGACTGAAATGTCCATTTGGGGTTTACAGTTTTGGGGCTATGTCAAATTTGATCTTGGAAAAATTCATTTGGCATTTAGTTAAAATCTGTTCTCTGAATTTTCAGGTTTTTTTTTTTTTTCCTGGAAGAATGATCATGATGGTTGTTGAACTAATTTTTATTCTTAATATTCTCTTTTTTGGTAGGATTAATTCTATCTATATTTATCATCTATTTAACGTGTATGACTCTCACAAATTTTCCTTTCCTCTTATATCCCTAAGGTCTCTGTTGACTTTTACCGATGGTATTTGATGGCTGGCATGCTTGTTCTTATAAATCTTACGACTTTTAGTATGAACAGTCAGTTGCAGATTGTTCAGTAATAATAAAAAACATTTCTTTCACTTACCTCTCAGCTGCTGTGATATTTCTACTCTTCATTTCCTTTTACCACATCTTCGTCCAGATACCTGGTCTTTTGTTGTTTTCTACAATCAAAATTATCCTAGACCTTTCAGATAAATTTTCTCTTTTGTGGAAGAAGTACCAGAATGAGCAGATGTAATGAAATTACACTTGTGGTGTTAAAATTACATTCTTTGCTGGATTTATTAATTGTTCTAACTTTATAACCTTGTTTTATAGTTATAGTAGTGGTTATTTTTTGTAGGTGTGATTGCAGGATATTTTAATGATTCATGAAATCTTGAATATATTATGAAAGAAAAGTATGTTTTATACGCATGCTACATATTCAGAGAGTGTGGTAAAGTGCTAATATAATTTCACAAGGACATTGACAGGCAGGTTCTGGAAAGAACAGAAGAGACAGCCCTGTGGCTTAATAAAAAGCTTCTGAAGACGTTCACCAAGGCAAATGGATATTTAAGAATCATGAGTAGCTGAGGTGGTAGAAGACGTATTTGAAGATTTAGGCTCATCTCAGCCTCTTGACAGTGACTTTGAGGATATGACAGGCAGTAAAAGTTTAAGCAAGTAAATAAAAATACTGTGAACTTCGTCTGTCCATGTTAATATGATTTTAATCATATTAATCATGATTTTTAAGTTAATCCAGATAAACTCAATAAGTGGAATTATGCATATTGGTCCCTCACATAGATCAACCCAAACCTGGAGTCACCTGTTCGTGTCAGGTAGCCTGATGTAAAGGTGACAGCACAAAACCTTCACCTGACCAGTGTACTGCATTATGTAGCTCAAGATGTATGAAATCAATCCACTAAAGGTAAATCAATGGGTGATATTTTAGACTAGAAAACAAGAAAGATTTCCTGCAAGGATCTTTATAACAAGTTCTCTTGGTGGATTTGATTGACACAAAAATTTTTATTCAGCTGTTCAGGGAGACAAATATATAAAAGGAAATACCCTACAAATCTTTGGGAGGGAGGAGGAAAGAAGGGTTCTTTAATTCCTCGATAGCTCAGGCACGCTGCTGATTAACCATCACTGTGCTCAGTACAAAGGGAAATAATCAGCTATCAAAGTTTTAAACATGAATTTCAGGCTAAATTTTAAAAATTAAACATAAACTTCCTTCTAGTCCACAAGAAAACCTAATGCAGGCCACGGGATATATGCTTTAAAATGCTCCTTTACCACTTTAAAAATGCTCCTTCACCACTTTGGTATTGGTTTTTAAATTTTCCGGGGTTTCTTCCCCATTAAAGTTCTTGGCAAAATGAAGCACGGTTGCAGAATATCTGCCTACTCTAGTCTTGTTGTTATGTTAGAATTTTAAAGTGCTGATTCTGGATACTTGTCCATGGCAGATAGTGTATTTTCATGTCACATTAGGTATCTGTTTTCATAATCTATGTTTTTTTTAAAAAACAATTTGAATTTTTAGTTTGATATATGCTATATCTTCCAATCAGAAATAATAAAAACCAAATATATTTTTATTCTCATAAACAGTGGCTTTATTTTAGAAAACATTTTTGCCCCCAAAAGACTTTATTGTTTCTGTGAAGCTTATGGAATGAGATATGAGCTCAAATTGTGTTGTCATTTGCTTCGAATGTTAAATTTGGACAAGTTGTCTTTTCTTCTTAAATATAATTTATATTAAAAATCTATATAGTTTTATGGTTTTTAGATTCAGGAAAACTTTTATCAGTTTGGATACTTTATAATTCATTTTTCCTAGAAGGAGAATAGAGAAAAATTATTATGATACATGCATGGTTCAAAAAATCTGGCCAAAAGCAAAAAATAAATTTATATGTGCCTTCCCCATGAATGCTGAACTGAATGTGTGTTCAGCTGAACCTGTTCTCACCTTGCCCTCCTGGTCTCTTTTACACGTAGACATACACTTTTAATGTAGAGACTTCAATTTTTGTTTTTGTGCTTCTGAAATTTTTGTCTGTACCTTGGTGTACACCTACATCCACATGTTGGTGAAACTGCTTTGCACATGGATAAATAATGTTGTATAGTAAGGAGTATATGACTTACTGTACTTTTGAACAAATAATTTTAATGAGACAACCCAGAGAAGTACCTAGAGTGTTAGCCAATATAGTTATACAGACAGGGAACTGCGTAAAATTACAGGTTACTAACTGGCATATCAGACACTTTTAAATTGTAGTTTATTCAGCCTTTGGAGGGTCTCTGGCTCTAATCAGATAGAGAAAGCTTTTAGTATAATAAAATTGCTGATAACCTCTGCATTTTCAGAATGGTTCAGCTGCACCAATGATTAGCCCTGTGTCCTTGAGTGAGGGCTCAACTCTGAGATCAATGTGTCTTCATCGGGTTGATATAAAGACAAAATGGGATAATTGATGTGGTTTGTGAGCCTCACAACACTGCATGACTTTATTGTTTGCTGCAGCTGCTGCTGTTATTGCAACCACACTGGGTCAAAGGCTCAAGTTTTTAATTCCCAAAACAGGTAAACAATTTTTCAGTGGTTTAGGTGAGCAATAAACAGGAAGGGCAATCCAGGCTGGGTTGAGGGTAGAGGAAGGAAAGAAGAGATTACAGAATGCTGGAATGATAGTTTAGAAATAAAAGTTTTAGATGCAAACTAATATAAATTGCAAATAGGTGATAAAGATCCAAGAAACCATCTATTCAGATTTTTAGCTCCACCAAAATCCCCTGCTTTTTGCCCCCAACGTAGCAGAATAAAAATTAAGCAAGTGATACAAAATATATATTTTTTTCTTTTGAAGATACTTTGGTCTAATTTGAAATATGAGAATTGTCACATTTCTTTCATGTTATTTGCCTGACCGTAGTTTAGGAACTCAAATGCTCAGAGCTGCAGTTCCAAGGTGATTGCTTCCATGCGTAGCTGTTCACTTTAATTTAATTTAAAATGTTTAGGAAAGTGCTTTGCAGCTGGGTATGGTTGTGCATGCCTGTAATCCCAGCCTTTGGGAGGCTGAGTCAGGAGGATCACCTTGAGATTGAGGCGAGCCTGGGCTACAGAGTGAGATCAAGGCCAGCCTGAACTGCAAGCAAGACCCTGCCACACACAAAAAAAGTGCTTTGCCTGAGGAAATCAAGAAGACATGTATCTGTAAGGTTCTTTGGAACTCTAAAATCTCGAAAAATCATTTGTCAGTTTGCAAGTGTCTAGAAATGTGTTTACAATTATTACACAAATGAATTTCTCCTTTGAAGTCTTTGCAAGGATAGCTTCTAATGAAGAAAATTGCAAATGACATTTTAATTTATGTAATAAATAAAATTTTGTATGAGATTTCAGATCCAAAAATAATAGATTTACAACTCTCTATAAATTTTGTGCAAAACCAAGCCTCAATGTAAGGGATTAAGGATACTCTGAATAATACATTATAGAAATTGAAAAAATAAGAATTATAATTAGGCTTGAAATGGCAAAAAATTTTGAATAACAAATAATGTATGCAAAATATGTTATAAAATGTGGGCTGCTATGTATTTGATACAAGTGCTTGGTATGGTGTTAATAGTTTGCTTCTTCCAATAGTTTGCATTCTTTTTTTCTTCCTGAGTGTATATTTTCAACAAAAATTTCCTCTGTAGTTTTTAAGCTCATTCTTCTTGGAGTTGATCTTCAATTTACTGTGATACACCTGAATAAAACTAAATATTTGTAAACATAATTTTTTGAAAGAGACAAAGAAATTGTTCGACATTGTTTTTCACCAGTTGTTTTCTTTGTTGGTTTGATTGTATTCGACCTCTGTTAGATTGATATATTCTCATTCTGTTTTTGGTGTTATAAATATAAAATGACAACATAAAAGCATTTGTTCAAGTGCAACAGTAGTCAAAACTTGCATTTTTATATTTAAAAAGTCCTCAAGAACTGAAAGGAATGTGTGATTTCCATAGATAAAAATAACAATATTTTGAAACAATAACCTGTGTCAGGTGAACAACAGAAACAAATTGATTAAAAGTCAGGTTTTCTCAATTAGATTGAATTAACTTTATGTACAATCACATAATCAATATATGATCTGGACTGGGATCCAATTACTCTGAATGACTTTTAAGACAATTTGGAGCAGGATTCCACTGTGGATGGCATTATAAAAATGTAGAGCATATTAAAGATGTTTACAGTCTCCTGGAGTGATGACGTTCTCCACCCTGGCTCATATCTATATCAAATGAGCTGTAGATATTTAAAGTTCTCCCTCAGGAGAGAATTGATGTAGCACACAATAAGAAAAAATTCTTACTTTTTTTCTCTGAGGTGTTCCCAAAATATAGTCTCACAGTTCTAAATGAAAAGTTGTCTTGAGAACCAGGCACATTTCACATTGACTGATGGTTATTTTTAGGTAAACCACTTTAGGTTAATTAGGAGAAAAACTGCTACTGTACAATTATTATGCTCTCTCCTCCCACCTTGGTCTGAAAATAATGAGATGTAACAAAAGTTTTTCTTTGTCACTGGCAGCTGCACCTTTTAAGTGTACCAAAGTCTGTTGCTGTGGTTACAGCCTTTGTTTCCAGTGATGTTTTGTCCACGCTCCCCCCACCCTTAACAAGGGTTACTCAAAAGCATGAAATAATGAGTCATTCATTCGAAATGCGTTGTTAAAATATCCCTCTTTATCATTACATTTCACTGCTTAGAAACGAGGCTGTAATTCAAGGCAACAGTTAAGTCTGAGAAGAACTGTTAAAAAAAAAAATCTGTTTTTTTTTTTTTCATTTATAAGAAAAACCTGTCTATGTAATTGAAGAACCTCTTACAAGTCTGAACAATTAAATCCTTTTTGGTTAATGTATTATTTCTGGAACAAGTAGATAAAATTCTACGCAGTAAGCATGATAAAAAGCGTGCATGTTTCGCACAGCACAGAATTTTAGAGTCAAGTTTTCTGGGCACAAAAGCGGTAACAAAACAATCCCTACAAAACTGAGTAACTCTGAATAACACAAGAAATAATTTTTGTTAATTTAAAATCTTAGAAACTGAAATGTGTAAAGTTGGTAAAGTAAAATGTAATTAAATTATGGTACTGTACATACCAGTTGTTTCTATCATCGAAATTTTACAATATGAAAAATACATTAGCTCTGTACAGTTTTTACACATAGGTAGGATGAGTTTTGAAAAAACGATTTTTTCCTTTTTTTCAGGGTCATACTCTGTTTAAGTCAAAAAAATACTGCACAACTTAGCTAATTACAAAGTGTAGACTTGAAACAATTCATGTCTTCTTTATTTCATGAATCAATCTTGGATTTTTGTTTATTTGAACAGGGGGTTTTTGCTTTGCTTTGAGAGTCACAATGAACAAATCTTCCTCATTTTGTCCTTGAGGTTACCAAGTTTAGTACAAACACTGGCTCCGGATCAGCTCCGTCAAGCCAGCTGCTGTTTATGGTCACTGATCCGGCCAGCTGCTGTGATTGTGCTCAGGTCCAGCTCACTCTCTAGATGTGTTTCCATCGTATCTTCCTGTGCATTCGTCTCAAAGGACTTATGAGAGAGCAGCTCGTGGTGCACCCCACAGTAACTTATTGTGGGCTGGTCGTATGCCAGAAAGGTTGACACATTCATTGATAAAGGTATCTGGGAAAAAATGACATGAGAACAAATCAGTTATAAAATGACAGACAACTCTGGGGCAAGATTTGCAGACTGTGACATGCTGACCTGATCAGGCTCTACAGTTACGTCTGTGGCTCTGAGGTCCCCATGTTATTCTGTGAGTGTTGCTCATTCCCACGTAGTAAGCCCACTGTGACAGTTTTATAGACTGGGAAGAAGCTGCTCGGTACTTAAGTAGACCCTTCAGATAAACATAGTGTAAATGGACATAAAAAAGGATGAAAGATTCATCCCTGGAAGAGTCAGGAAATTTCTTTTCCTAACTGGAGTAAAACACTGTTTTTGAACAATGAAAGCTATTATTTGCTTATTTATGGTATCAGGATTTAACAGAGCACTGGTTCCCAAACTTTAGTGTGTGTAAAAAATACCTCCTTCTTTAACTACCTGTCCTGTTGCCCCCCAAGTTTCTGATTCATTTGGTCTGGTGTAGGGTACTGAATTTGTGTTTCTTACAAATTCCTATGTGGGTGCTGTTAATCCACACACCACAGCTTGGGAAACACTGCAGAAGAGAGTTTTCAAGTTAATCTGGCTGTTCTTGCTCATAACTTCTTAATATTTACTTCATAGTGAAGATTCCTTGAAACATCAATGCTATTTCAAGAAAACAAACAGAATTTTGTCTATGTATCTAAAATGTAGACCTTAGAGAACTCCTAGGAAAAAAAAAAATCTATGGCTTCTGTAAGGTCTAAAAAGCATCAAAACATGATAGTATTTTGAAGGAAGCAGTGATAGAGGTCAGGAAGGGACTCCCTTGCTAATAAAGGGAATAGAAGATCTACAGATGTGAGGGAAGAAACAAGCACGAGCGTGGTGAATGGGAGGGAACACGTTACAGACAGCAGGTGCTCATATATAACCAGACGTCAAAAGTCTACAGATCATTCAATTTCTTTTCAATAAGGGAATAAATTTGTCCTAAAAAGGCTTCGAGGAGCCCTCAGCCCTGACCTTGGCTTAACATTTGCTATAGCTTGGGTATTGTTTGTATGTCCTCCACTCATTTGTGTGTGGAAATTTAATTTCCATTTTTGGGCATTAAGAGTTTGGCAATTCAGTCTGTCCATGGTATTTAGAGGAGGTGACTAGGATTTGATAAGGTGGTTAGGGTGGAAACCTCAGGATTAAATCTTGGCATTTTTATAAAAAATGGAGAAAGAACAGCACACACACACACACACACACACACACACACACACACACACACACACACTCCCTATCTCTCATCAGGTAATTCCCTGCACTTCTGGTATCTGGCAGCAGGAAGGTCATTAACAAATACTGCCTTGCAGTTGAGCACCTCTGGAGCTCCGTCCACAGTAAACCTTTCTTCACATTTCATCCAGTCTGTGGCATTGTGTTACTGGTGACAGAAAAGGGACTAATGCAATAGCCTAATTACTAACACATCGTTATATTTTCTTCAAAGACAACATTCAAGCTTGATGAATGCATGAAATATATATTTCTGTTTGAGCACATTAGACTAAATTCCCTTCTGAACTCAGCGCAGATTAGAGCCCAAAGTAAAAGAAACTAGAGTGTCTAGGTTTTACTCCTTCAAGTGTTCTTAATTTTCTTCTCTATCTTCATTGTGATTCACATCCTCTTCTCCTCCTCTCATTCCATATCTCTCCTCTACCCACATTTACTTTTCCTTCAGTAAGAATTGATTGAGCTTATATATCTGTCTTCTTTTCAGTAAAAGTACCACTTATTTGGAGATAATTTGTTTATACAAATATTTCAGTGTATCTAATGTGCAGGGCTTAGTCCTTGGAGGCAGAAGTATAATCCAGTTCATCCAATGAATTTCCTGAGTAATCTCTCTTATTTATGTGGATTTTAGAAATTTGAAATGTGAAATGTCTGATGTATGAATAAAATGTGCACTTTAAAATGGTTAACACAGTTGATAAAAAGGAAAATAGTTAACTAAAATATAATATAGTACTTCTATTTAAAATAAATAAGAATTCTCATTGTTGTAGATGAAATTGCTCCAGTATTATGTAAAAGTACTTGTGCAGCATGAGTAGATTTGAGATTTAGGAGAGAACAAAAATTGAGCTATTACTAGATTACTTGGGTTTTATGTCAGCCTTTGGGAAATCAAGGCCTGATGCAGTCAGCGTTCCTGGTCCTATATCTGAGGGGTTCTTAGATTTGCTCTTATTTGCCATAGAAACTTACATGGCATATATATTGAATCACTTCTGGCTTACTTTGAATTAATTCTGCTCTGAAGAATTTGTAATCTGTAAGCTCACAATTTATGAAAAATAAATACACTTATTTTGTGTGTCTCTGTGTACACAAGCACAACTTCTGCTTGGTTTAGTATCTATAGGATGTTGGTATCCAGAGCACAAGCCTAATGTGAGCCATATTGATTAAATAGCTCTGACAGTTGGCTACAAAATCCCAAACCTTTTCTTTAGAGAGTTTCTTATTTTCGGGCATGTCTCATTTTGAAACACCTTTCTATGATTATACTGTGTCAATGACAAGGCACAATTTTTTTATATTTTAATATTTCTGAAATTGGGATAGTCCTTAAGAGCAGTGTAGATTTTTAACATATATTTTATCCCTGCCTTTCGAAGTATATCTTACTCTTTAGGTTACCTAACTACTAAGAAAATAAATCAGTAAGTAGAGGTAAAAGCTAACCCCGTATGAATACAACCTAGTACATTTTTCCCTGGTTGAATTAGGTGATTTTGAAGATATAAATGAGTTAGCATTGGCTTTGACTACATGTGTATTTATAGGAGTACACACATTTATTGACATAATACATCTAGAAGTGTATATGCATGTACAATACATACTATTTATGTTTATATATACATGCATGATCTAATAGTTAATTAATAATGATTTCAAAATATTAAATCAGGTATGAGAAACACAATTTTGCTGTATGATTTTGGATATCTTGCACACTTATGTTGTCTATGTTAGATGTATATATGTAAACATAACACACATGCCTATAGATGTTTATATAATACCGGATACACAGATACATACATTCATTCAGAAACTTTTCAAACTCAGTTCAGGTAAATTCTTGCTTAATTATGAAAATTTTGCACTGGTAATTTTAATGGAATGGTAAGATAATTTCTTTTTTACATAAAATACTTTGTTAATTTTACTTAGGTAATTTCTTTCCTAACACACTTACTTCTCAAATAATAATACACTACTTGCTATCCCACTTCATAGTACTATGTAAGAAACACATACAATAAATATTGAAACTTAGCTGTCACTAATGCCCTCAGGATTCTCCCCCTCTTTTTGAACATCTCTATCTCCTTCATCCCACTTTCTGAAGCGCTTCTCAAAGTCTTCTGTCCTGTCTTTATGAGGCATGTTAAACAGCACTGTGACTGCTGCTACTGAACGCCATCCATTGGAAAGGCAAGCTTGTGAAGACCATTTCAGTATGTCCTCATCCACCTATTCACCAGATCTGGCACTATTTCAACTTCTGGCTTTTCTCCAAAACCAAATGATTGTGATTAGGAAAACGTTTTGAATGGACTCAGGACATCAAGGCAGGAACAGGAGTACAACAAAAAGCCTGATGAAGGACTTCTAGAACTGCTTCAGAAAGTGCCAAGAACAATAAGATGAGTGTGTTTAAAATGAGGAAGAGTATTTTGAGGGGGATTAATGTCTTTTACTGTAATACACATTCCTCATATTTCCTGATCATGCCTCATATTTTGCTTCTTGCCAGAAAGGGACCTTGTTTATTCCTTTCAAATTATTTTTAGTTGTTTGGGAACACGGCAAATTACATCTTTGTGATGGTTCCATTATGTGATAAAAGAGCTTGAATATGATAAAATCATATTTCAAATAAATTATCTAAAATATTTTAATATTAAAATATGCATAAGTATTTTTCACATCAGGGAAATCACTTGGTGCAGAGACTTGGGCAGCTACTGTGAATTAAGCGATCAGTTTTGGATTCTGTTGAGAGGACACATCCTTGCATCACAAGCGACTGACAGATGGGTAGTCACTTTTGGTGGGTGGGTAGTGACTGACGGGTGGGTAGTGAAGGAGCGGCTAGCAGCTGGCTTTAAGCAAATAAACCCTGTGAGGCTCAGATCCAGTGCGTGTAAATCCCCTCTGCCACCAGCTGCAGTACATCCCTCTTCTTCCCTTAACCATCAGAGGATCATGTGCCTTTGTATTCGCCCTGCTTTTAACACTAGTCTTCCCTGGGCTCCGTATCTCCTCCTCTGCTCTCCACACTCCAGTCCTCTCTCTGTCCCTCTCCCCGTCTGCCTTTTTACCTGGTTCTATCAACATGTTGTTTCCCGTAGCTAAAATGTTCAACGTTACAGTCCCTCATTCTACTTACTGTTCCACTTTGAACAGTAAAATAACTTAGTAAAGAAAACAAAAAGTGACCCTGAGTGCTCAACCAGCTGGCTAGAATGGTTCCAGGAAGGGTAAAAGACTGAAAGCTACTAAGGCTACTTCTTCCTCAAAGTTTTTGTTAGAAGGCTGTATTTAGTGTCCACAGAATCTAAGTGTTCTGCCTGCGAGAGAACAGTCTCTTTCACTGTGTTTTTATCTGATAAAGTCTGATTTATAATTACTTACAGTTTCCTTTAGTTCTGCAGGTCACTGTTTTCTGGGTGAGGTAATTATTCTTAAGGTGTAATTTATAGAGATGGCAGATGTGAAAGCTTGCTTTCTGAAAAGCACTGCTGTGAAGTGTCTGAACTAAGAAATCATTACATACTCTCATACCGACGAGAGGTGGTAGCTGACCCACTGCTTGAGAAATTCCTCTTGGTAAAATTTTGATTCTGCTATGTAAGCACTGTAGGGACATCAGTGACATTTACCTTGATAGTGATTTTCTAGTATCTATATCAACATCAATGATATGTACCTTATATGTCTAAAAGTTAGAGATA